TATTACGTGCTGTCAGGTTAGTTCCGACTCAGACCCTGTGTACAACATAATGAAACAGCCCGCTCCTGCGCCATCCTCATGATCGTTGTTACGCTTCAGCCCGTTGTTGCAGCCACTGTGTCAATTCATCTCATTGAGGATCTTCCTCTTTTTTGATGACCCTCTACTTTACCAAGCATGATGTCCTTCTCTAGGGACTGGTCCCTCCTGATAACATGTCCAAAGTATGTAAGACAAAGTCTCGCGAGCATTCTGTCTGTACTTTTTCCAATACAGATTTGTTCGTTCTTCTGGCAGTCCGTGGTGTATTCATTATTCTTCATCAACACCATAATTCAAAGGTGTCAATTCTTCAGTCTTCCCTATTCACTGCCCAGCTTTCTCATGTATATGAGGCGACTGAAAACACCATGGCTTGGGTCAGGTGCCCCTTAGTCTTCAAAGTGACACCTTTTCTTTTTAACACTTTAAAGAGGTCTTTTGCAGCAGATTTACCCAATGCAATGTGTTGTTTGATTTCTTGACTGCTGCTTCCATGGGCATTAATTGTGGATCCAAGTAAAATTAAATCCTTGCCAACTTCAGTTTTTTCTCCGTTTATCATGATGGTGCTTATTGGTCCAGTTGTGAGGATTTTTGTTTTCTTTATGTTGAGGTGCAATCCATACTGAAGGCTGTAGTCTTTGATTTTCATCAGTAAGTGCTTCAAGTCCTCTTCACTTTCAGCAAGTAGGTTGTGTCATCTACATATCACAGGTTGTTAATGAGTCTTCCTCCAATCCTGATGCCCCATTCTTGTTCATATAGTCCAGCTTCTTGGATTATTTGCCCAGCATACAGATTGAATAAGTAATGGTGAAAGGATACAATCCTGACACACACCTTTCCTGACTTTAAATCACGCAGTATCCCCTTGTTCTGTTCAAACGACTGCCTCTTGATCTGTGTACAGGTTCCTTATGAGCACAATTAAGTGTCCTAGAATTCCTGTTCTTCACAGTGTTATCCATAATTTGTTATGATCCACATAATCGAATGCCTTTGCATAGTCATAAAAACACAGGTAAACATCTTTCTGGTATTCTATGCTTTCAGCCAGGATCCATCTGACATCAGCAATGATATCCCTTCTTCCATGTCCTCTTTGGAATCCAGCTTGAATTTTTGGCAGTTCCCTGTTGATTTACTGCTGTAGCCACTTTTCAATGATCTTCAGCAAAATTTTACTTGCATGTGATGTTAATGATATTATTCAATAATTTCTGCATTCAGTTGGATCACCTTTCTTTGGAATAGGCATAAATATGGATCTCTTCCAATCAGTTCGTCAGGTAGCTGTCTTCCAAATTTCTTGGCATAGATGAGTGAGCACTTCCAGTGCTGCACCATCTGTTGAAACATCTCAATTGGTATTCCATCAATTCCTGTAGCCTTGTTTTTCACCAGTGTCTTCAGTGTAGCTTGGACTTCTTCCTTCAGTGCCATCATTTCTTGATCGTATGCTACCTCCTGAAATGACTGAATGTTGACCAATTGTTTTTGGTCAGTGACTCGGTGTATTCTTTCCATCTTCTTTTGATGCTTCTTGCGTTGTTCGGCATTTTGCCCATAGAATCCTTCACTGTTGCAACTCGAGGCTTCAATTTTTTCTTCAGTTCTTTCAGCTTGAGAAATGCCGAGCGTATTCTTCCCTTTTGGTTTTCTATCTCCAGGTCTTTGCACATTTCATTATAATACTTTACTTTGTCTTCTTGAGCCACCCTTTGTAATCTTCGGCTCAGCTCTCTTCCTTCATCATTTCTTCCATTCACTTTAGCTACTCGATGTTCAAGAGCAAGTTTCAGAGCCTCTTCTGACATCCATTTTGACCTTTTCTTTCTTTCTGTCCTTGATGTCACTCCACAACTAGTGTGGTCTTCGATCATTAGTGTTCAATGCATCAAATCTATTCTTGAGATGGTCTCTAAATTCAGGTAGGATATACTTAAGGTCCTACTTTGGGTCTCGTGGACTTGTTCTAATTTTCTTCAGCTTCAACTTGAACTTGCGTATGAGCAATTGATGGTTTGTTCCACGGGTGGACACTTGCCTTGTTCTGACTGATGACATTGAGCATTTCCATCATCTCTTTCTACAGATGTAGTTGATTTGATTCCTGTGTATTCCATCTGGTGAGGTCCACGTGTATAGTCACCATTCATGTTATTGAAAAAAGATATTTGCAATGAAGAAGTCGTTGATCTTGCAAAATTCTATCATGCGATCTCCAGCATCGTTTCTATCACCAAGCCATATTTTCCAACTACTGATCCTTCTTGTTTCCAAATATTACATTCCAATCACCAGTAATTACCAATGCATCCTGATTGCATGTTCATCAATTTCAGACTGCAGAAGTTGGTAAAAATCTTCAATTTTTTCTTCATCTTTGGCCTTAGTGGTTGGTGCGTAAATTTGAATAATAGTCGCATTAACTGGTCTGCCTTGTAGACGTATGGGTATTATTTTATCACTGACGGCGTTGTATTCAGGATAGATCTTGAAATTTGTTTTTTTCTGTGACAATGAATGCAACGCCATTCTTCTTCAATTTGTTATACCCGGCATAGTAGACCATATGATTGTCCAATTCAAAATGGCCAATACCAGTCCACTTCAGCTCACTAATGGCTAGCATATCGATGTTTATACATTCCAGTTCATTTCTGACAACTTCCAATTTTCCTAGATTCATACTTCACACGTTCCACATTCTGATTATTAATGGATGCTTGCAGCTGTTTCTTCTCATTTTGAGTCTTGCCACATCAGCAAATGAAGGTCCCAAAAGCTTTATTCCATCCATGTCATTAAGGTTGACTCTACTTTGAGAAGGCAGCTCTTCCCCAGCCTTCCAGCCTGAGGGGCTTATCTTCCGGCACTATATCAGACAGTGCTCTGCTGATATTCATCAAGTATCACTGGCTAATTTTTTTCAGAAGTAAAACACCCGGTCCTTCTTCCTAGTCTGTCTTAGTCTAGAAGCTCAGCTGAAACCTGTCCACCATGTGACAGGTGGTATTTGAATACAAGTCGCATAGCTACCAGCATACAGCAACACACTAGCCCCTACAGTATGACAAACTGACAGATGCGTGGGGGGCACATCTGCCTAACTGCAAACATATAAAAATGAGAAGCAAAAAAATGAATTAGATGGCCTTCAAAATAAGACAAAACACAATTTAAAAGAATATCATTATTTATAACCCAGGAAAGATGGTAGGAAATTTTTCTTATTGTTGGTGGCTATGTGGGACAGTAATCCTTGAGAAAAGATTTTTTTAAAAAAAAGTCACTTGAGAATCTCTCTGTTGAGAATTCTGAGGAGAAACAGTGAAGCAGGAGAAAAGAAAAGAAAGTAAAATACTTTTTTCTTCACACTCCCACAACAAAGGTATTTGTGGTATCAAGTCTCTGAACTGAGCTGTGATTTCAGCAATGAAATAATGAAGGCATGTGAAAACCTGTGAATAACAGATAATCCACTGGGCTTCCACAGAGGTCTTTAATGCTTTAGCAAGTAGAGAGATGAGTTTGCTTAAGCATGATCTCAATTCTCAAGGTCATTGAGAACTTGGAAACTGAGAAACATGGGGTCTCTGGCTCATAAAACATTTAGCAGCTTCCCTCTCCAATAAGATTAATTAATCCAATATAACAACTATTTAATGACATTTATCATTTGCCAGCCAATATGATGATTAGAAAGATATACAGGTGAAAAGAGATGTTTGACCTTCAAGGAGCTGTAAATTAGGTGGGGAGACACATCAGCAAATCCAATCACAGCACATTATGAAAATTTGTTACAATCTTAATGGCAATATACAAAAGTTTCCAGGTGGAGGCAGAGCGGTCAGCGGAAGGGAAGGCTTCTCAGATGATATGATTCTTCAGCTGACTCTTAAAGAGAAATAGGAGTTTTCTAGGCAGAAGAAGGTTGAGGACATTCTAGGTAGATAGAACAACACATCTAAAGGTAAGAAACAAAACAGTACGGCCTTGCCACCTTGCCTCACTAATCAGTCTGAAACAAATGGCACGCTTGAAGGGTTAACTGAAATGAGTTTAATGAAGTAACTATTTCCAGAGATGTGGGCAAGGTCAAGGGCACCAATAAAGTGTGGTGAAGCATTCAAGTATAGCAACAGTGAGAAGCCATTAACCACTGGAAGGGACAAGGAAAGGGAATGGTATTACCGGAATCTGGTGAAAGCCGTGGGAGAGGAACCTTGACCAGAGACAAGAAGACAGTCACTGCCAAGCCACAGCCCAGCAGAGACAAAGAGAAGGATAAATACCCTAACCTCTCTTTCTTCCTGCCTCCAGCAGGTGCCTCCCATTGGCTGAATCCAACTGCAAGCTGGAGGGCAATCGAGTCTGGGGAAAGCTGTTTGTTTGTAAAGGTCAGATTCCCGAGGCCCAGAGAAAAACAGAGATTAAATCTGGAGGGCAAACAGAGAATCATTAGCACACCTCAGACTGATATCCCAGGTCCATAGAACAGTTTCCTGTCTGTCTTGAATAGGTATAGCCTAAGACTAGCAGTCTGCCCTTGTTTCTTCTTCCTAAATTGTATAGAGCGGGGCTTGCTGAATTAAATGACAGGGAGATCCAGTTTGCTGCGCAACTCATGCCTTTTATCCAGTCTTTCTCCATGCATATTTTCAGCCACAACGATGTACTAATAATTATTGTATCAGATATTTTAAAATAAAAACAAATAATCATAAGACAGTTCAAGATGAAATAACAGGTAAGTGCTTATTTCTCTATCTAAAAATAACTACTACTTTAATATTCTATTCATTTAAGACACTTCATCCTTGATTGATAAATTCCAGTTAAATCACATTAAGGTGTCTTCAAATTTTATGAAGGTGCTGCATTGCTTGAGGGAGGGTAAAAAAAAAAAAACCAGTCATCCTTTTACAACCTTTTTTCTATTTATTTTCCAGATCAATAACTCGATCTTATTACCGCAATTCAGTTGGTGGATTTTTAGTATTTGATATTACTAACCGACGATCCTTTGAACATGTGAGAGACTGGCTAGAAGAAGCAAAAATGCATGTACAGCCATTTCGAATTGTATTTCTCCTAGTGGGACATAAATGTGATTTAGCCTCACAACGTCAAGTTACAAGGGAAGAAGCGGAAAAACTGTCAGCAGACTGTGGTATGAGATATATAGAAACCTCAGCAAAAGATGCCACAAATGTTGAGGAATCCTTCACAATCTTGACAAGAGACATATATGAACTTATTAAAAAGGGAGAAATTTGTATTCAGGATGGCTGGGAAGGGGTTAAAAGCGGTTTTGTTCCAAATACTGTGCATTCTTCTGAGGAAGCAGTGAAGCCCAGGAAAGAGTGCTTCTGCTGACTTCAAACATGCCAAAGAACTAACAAGAGCAGACTGGGTGTCGTTTCAAGATAAATACAACATTAAGAACAGGCTGATGCAATGAAAACATTAAAAAATGTCATATACCTGACTCACAAGCCCATATTAACACTGTTTTACAAGGTATTTAATTCAGGGCACTGTGCTTATTTGTTACGCTACAAGATTGGATATTTTGCAAAATTATAAAGGCAAAGCAGACAACTTTTTCTTCAAACTACAGTAGCTACACAATTACCTCTGTTTTCACTGTTACCGTATAGCTGACCTTAGTGTCCAAATATGTCAATATTACTCATTTTTCTTGACAGTCTGAAATGGGTTGTTTGTGTGTGTGTGCATATATATATAGTCAGATTTAAAAGCTTTTATCAGGAATCATATTCTTTTAACTTAGTTAATTTTGAACAGTAAAGTGGGTATCAAAGTGTACTGTTCACTTACAGAGAAACAATCTCAGAGGTATTGACTAGGATGAAAACATCAGTTTCTTATTTAAGGGGCCAGGTTTTTAACCATTCTCTGAAATATTTATCCCCCTTAATTTTACCTGAACATAAGAAAATAAGTTTTATGCCCATTTTTCGTCTCTGATTTATTGCTTCTGAAAATTTACGTTTTATAAATGTGTCTAAGAATCCAAGCAAAATATTTTATTGCAAATATTTCCAAAAATAAAAACAACCAACCATTTATCAGCAAATGTTTTCATGCTTTAGTATACTGTCCTTACTTAGAAAAAACAAATTTACCTATATGCTGGCATTTTCAAAGAAATTAAATGCAATTTACCTTGAACTAATGTCAAAATCATCAATATAGTAAATTTCTAAACCATCCCATTTCCAAGTATAGAAAAGAGTTTTCTGGACAAGGAAAATTGGCTAAATGTTTGCTATATTTAGTATTCAAATTATATTTTACTATCTTATCTGTAAAAGTGAAGACAAAGTAATGAATCAAGAAAGTACAATGACTTTTGAGTTCCCTAATTTTGAACTCACTGATTTAAGCCCCTTTCCTGGAAGGGATATTTTGATCATAATGTCAAATATAATGCACATTTCTATTCTGTTCTGTACACCATTTCTAATCACAAAGAGGGGCACCACATGAAGCTGCCTTCCTAGAAACAGAAGAACTTTACTATTAAACTGTAGTTGCCCCATTTGTTTGAAAACCAAAGTAGACTAGTAGAAAGAATATTTAACTAGAAATCAGAAAACCTGAGTTCTAAGCTGGCCTTTGCTGTACCAATGTTTGACCATGAGTAAGTCACTTAACCTCTCTAAGCATCAGTTCTCTCATCTGTAAAATGACACTAACACCCCATTTGTTATGTTTTGTGGAATTATTTTGAGAATCAAGTGAATCACGTGAAAACGCTTTGTAAATAGAGAAAACATTATACAGATATGAAATTATCAGCTGCTCATGTGCATGAGAATTTTGTTTTCTTATGTTTCTTCCCTCCATTCCTGTACAGAGGGAGCAGAAAAAGGTACAAGTTTTCATGGACCTGGGGAAGTTCTTGGCCTAGATGCTTACCCTCTGCTCTTTTACTCTGAAACACTGTCCTTCAAAGTAGAAATGAAAGGGAGGGAATCCCCAGAGAATTAATTCAATCAAAAGTCTTGTTCAAAAAAGGAAATTGAAATAATAAAAGCACTGGGTTAATATAGTCTTACTTACATGTTTTTATAATAGCTATTGGTTAACAATCTGTGGGAGCATTTTGTCTTATAAACTGTCAACCAATTCCCATTCTTACAGCATGACTTTTATCTTAGCCTCACATCTAGCAGAATGGGTATTTTACTAAATTATCAGGCAAAGCAGATAACTTTTTCTTGAAACAGAAGTAACTACATAATCACCTCCATTTTCACTTTGTTAGCATATATCTGACATTAGTGTCCAAATATGTCAATGTTACTCATTTTTCTTACAGTTTGAAATGTGTTTTTCTGCATCTTTGAAGTATTTAATTGTATTTTTTAAATACCTGTATATTTTCTAGGTTCATACAAGAATTTTTAATACTGTTTATGGGGAGAAGAATGCAAATTGTAACATCACTATAAAATTTCTCTATATGTATATTGGCAACATTCTCTTGATATTTTTAGGTTAATTTTACTTGAGTGAGTCCAAACTGTAATTGACTAGATAAGAAAACACCTGCCCCAAAAATGTGAAGCAATCTAATTTTACTGTTACAATATTAAATCTTATATTCAAGCAATTTACCTTCACTCCAAATGGCATAAACTAAAATACTGAATATCTAACAATAGTTTAAAGTGCAGTCACCCATCCCTACTTGTAAAGTTAAACATCTAAATTATAAAATGTGATTTAACTTTCAGTGGCATCCTTTATGATACTAATGTTGGGATAGGACTAGTATTCAGACTGAAAAAATATGATATGTTCTAAGATTGAGAATAGCATTAAGGAACCAGAAGAAACAAATGGGAAGATTCTTACCAAGGTCACACATGAGCAGAAACAAGCATAGAACTTTGGTTCTCTAAACACCTTGTTCCCTCCATTACCATGCTGTGGTGTGTGTGTGTGTGTGCTTAAGGGAAAGGAAAGGGGAAATGTAACCAAATCCACAAAATACTACAAGTGAGCTAAATCATTTTGATGTTATAGAGGAGCTATTTGTGGTAAAACAATAGTAAGATGAACAATGACTATGAAGATCTGAGTTGTTACACAAGATTGCCAACACATCTGTATAACCTTAGCCAGATATCTTTATCCATATATATAAACTAGCTAATCTATTTTCTTATACATTATTCTAGAGAATATGGACAATAATAATGTCAAAATAGTAAAAATATTTGCTTCAGGCAAAACATTTTGACTAAGTTTCTAGAAATCAGATGTACTTGATTTTAGATTAAAATTATTTAATTTAAATTTAAATATTTAAATTAAATAAATTTAAACTAATGAATGATTAAATGTTTTAACTAAATGTGGTAGAAAAGATAAATAATAAACTTATCCCTGACAGTAATCACTCATCTTGAGTTGCTTTAACACTTTCAGTCCCTGTAGTGATATGATGATTCATTAAATAGTAAGCTTAAGCCAAAATGACTCTGTAAATCAGAGTGCTTTTAAATGTGGCCTTTAAATACGTATATAGACCTGTTGTTGTTGTTGTGTGCCGTCGAGTCAATTCCAACTCATTGTGACCTATAGGACAGAGTAGAACTGTCCCATAGGGTTTCCAAGGAGCAGCTAGTAGATTCAAAGTTCCGACCTTTTGGTTAGCAACCTAAGCTCTTAACCACTTCACCACCAGGGCTCTGTATATGTACTTAACAGTAGCAAACACGTTTTTATTGAGCCTAGAAACTTGAGAATTTACACTAGGTTTCCAAAAGCCTCAAGCAGACCGTGATTTTTGTGTGTGGGTGTGGCAACCAAAGCAGTCTTTTCTATTAAGAAAACTTTACCAGAACAAAGTCTTAATTCAGCTTTACATCATTAAAAAACTGAATATATGGATTAACAAAATCATTTTGAGAGTACTTTTGTCATATTTTATACTGCCTTTGGTTCAATTAAGTACAAAGCTGCTATTGACTTCCAAGAGTGCACTATAGTATTTGAATAATTTCCTTAAGTCTAATATAGTAAGACAGCCAGAATCCTCCTTAGAAGCAAGGATGGAGGTAACTTTGTCTCACGTACTTTGGACATATTATCAGGAGGGACCAGTCCCTGGAGAGGGACATCATGCTTGTTAAAGTAGAGGGTCAGCGAAAAAGAGGAAGACCCTCAATGAGATGGATTGACACTGTTGCTGCAAAAATGGGCTCAAGCATAACAATGATTGTGAGGATGGCGCAGGACCAGGCAGTGTTTTGTTCTGTTATACATGGGTATATATGAGTAGGAATCGACATGAAGACACCTAACAACAACAACAACAAATACAGTGAGAAGAACTCATTAGACTAAAGACTCATTTCATAAACTAACCCATTTGTTCCCCAGCAACTGTGCCTGGAGAGATTTAGTTTGGAATAGCAAAGGAAACATAATTTTTAAGGAAAAAATATTAAAGATTATAAAGGCTTTAAAATGAAACCCTTTGTATTTTAAAATAGTGGAATACATTCCCAATCAGGAGCTAACTTTTGGAAATTCCACAGCTCACAAATAGACACCTCTGCTTCAGAATCTTTATAAATCCCAATGTTTTCAGTAAACTTTCCTGAGCAACTGATCTTCACCTGATCTGAAAATAACTAACAAACTTCTCCTGAATCGAATGAACTGCTGCATAACTTGGTATTTCTATAATCTTAATAACTGATGCAAGTAGATACATGAGTGATTAGCTGTGACAATCTTCACTTAACTACACATAATTATACTAGAGAATAAATGAAAAGAAACTTATAAAAGATATTTTTTAAAAAATTAGTGTTCCTTTTTGTTAGTACTAAGTTTTCATCTTCTTATAAATAGTGCCTAAAACATTGTCTTATCTATGTGACATTCAGTGAATACTAACTGATGGTTATTATGTTGAATTAATCCTATTAAATGTGAGTTCCACATACTTGGTTTTAATTTATACATTCCATAGAGAAACAAATATGTTTTGCTACAGTTGTCTCTTGGCTTTTTTTTTTTTTTTCTAGAATGACAACCAGTGGAAGAAAGATATGGTATAAACTTTTTGAAGTATGTTAATTGTTATTTGATTTTAAATAATAATAAAAAGAATGAGAATGAGAACTATGATTGTCACAGGATTGTTACATATCCATCTTTAGCAATCCATCTTTAGTGGTGCTTTTAAAACAGAAGCAACTATTTAACTGCAGTTGTGTGTGTGTGTGTGTAAGAGAGAGAGAGAGAAGAGAAAGAAGATGTCACAAAAAAAAGTGTACATAATTACACTTTTCAATTAGAGGTCCACAATCCTTTGTATGTGACATAATACCCTAGTGGAGTCCAGAGCAGAACCACGTAATCAAACATTAATACTGAATGCAGCAAAATGTATGAATATTCACAGTAGCATCACTAGGGGGGTACAGGGTGTGTGGGCTGCACTGGATGATGCTCTCGGGGGGGTGACACCAGAATGACTGTATATAAAATTTTTGTGCAGACTTCCAGCAGGAATTTATTGTTTTTTATAAAAATATCCTGTAGTGAGGAAGTCAGCACAACTGGACCAAAGGAAAAGCTAAAAAGTTTTCTGAACACATCCAAACACTTTGGGTGACAGAGTAGCTGGGGCTAGGGCCTGGGGACCATAGTTTTGGGGGACATCTAGGTCAACTGGCGTAACAAGTTTATTAAGAAAATGTTCCGCATCCCACTTTGGTGAGTGGCATCTGGGATCTTAAAAGCTAGCGAGCAGCCACCTAAGATGCATCAACTGGTCCCAACCCACTTACAGCAAAGGAGAATGAAGAACACCAAAGACACATGGAAAATATTAGCCCAAGAGACAAAAGGTCCACATAAACCAGAGACTCCATCAGCCTGAGACCAGAAGAACTAGATGGTACCTGGCTACCACCAATGACCGCCCTGACAGGGAACACAACAGAGAGTCCCAGATGGAGCAGGAGAAAAGTGCAGAGCAGAACTCAAATTCACGTAAAAAGACCAGACTTAACGGTCTGACAGAGACTGGAGGAACCCCTGAAACTATGGCCCCTGGACGCTCTGTTAACCCAGAACTAAAACCATTCCCAAAGCCTACTTTTCAGACAAAGATTAGACAGGACTATGAAACAAAAAATAATAGTGGTGAGGAGTGTGCTTCTTCAGTCAGATACACGAGACCAAATGGGTGGCTCCTGTCCAGAGGCAGGATGAGAAGGCACGAAGGGACGAGAACTGGTCAAATGGACACAGGGAAACTGGGGTGGAAAGGGGGAGTGTGCTGTCACATTGCGGGGATTGCAACTAATGTCAAAAAACAATATGTGTATAAATTTTTGTATGAGAAATTAACTTGAGCTATAAAGTTTCACCTACAGCACAATTTAAAAAAAAAATTGCTGTAGTTATAACAACAAAAACATTTTTCGTAAGCTCAGCTTACATGTATTAATGTACCTACAAGGCTAAAACTCTATGCTAATTTACTTTTTGAACCTTCTAATGCCCTCGAGTCAGAGCTGTCATTATCATCCAATTACAATGAGCTTCCATTCACATGGTTTCCTCTGCATGCGCTACAAGCATGCACTGTTGTTTTCGTTGCTGCGCTGTTTTTATAGTTGCTGATTTTGTCACATTTTCTGGTGTTTTAGCTACAATATTGTGGTAATTAGTATTTGTGAACCTACAGCAATAACTTTTTTGAGAATGAAGTAGTAATTAAAAGAAAAGAAGGAGTGATATACAGGAATTACAATTTATGAGTAACATTAGTACAGAAAACATTACTAAGGATTCTATATGGTTTGGTTTGGGAGGAGGTCCATGGTGGGGGGTGGGTGACACCATGAGTTACCGTACTAGGTGATACCAACCCTAGTGATGCCACTGAATATTCACACCAAAAAGGATAATATCAATAAATAATGTGATCAGCTGAGGTCAGATTTTTGCTGCCAAATGAGTTACAAAAAGAATTTGACCTGAATCCCACTTTTCAGACAAAGACAGGCCTATAAAACAAACAATAACAAACACAAGGAACATGCTTCTTAGTTCAATCAAATATACGAGACCAAATTGGCAATTCCTGCCCAAAAGCAAGACAAGAAGGTATAAAGGGACAGGAAAACTGTATGAATGGACATGGGGAACCTAGGATAGAAAGGGGGAGAGTGCTGTCACATTGCAGGGATTGCAACCTATGTCACAAAACAATATGTGTATAAATTTTTGCATCAGAAACTAACTTGAGCTATAAACTTTCACCTAAAGCACAATACAATTAAAAAAAAAAAAGTTTGGTGAAGAGTAAGACAGTACACAATACTGGGAAAGCCAGCACAACTTGTCCAAGGGAAGGTCATGGAAGCTTCATAGACACATCCAAACTGCCCGAGGGACCGAATTACTGGGCTGAGGGATGTGAGGACCGTGGTCTTGGGGAACATCTAGCTCAAATGGCGTAACATAGTTTATAAAGAAAACGTTCTACATTCTACTTTGGTCAGTAGCATCTGGGGTCTTAAAAATTTGTGACTAGCCATCCTACTCCACTGGTCTCACCGTATCTGAAGCAAGGGAGAATGAAGAAAACCAAAGACACAAGGGAAAGTTTAGTCCAACGATTAGTCCAAAGGACTAATGGACCACTTGTACTGAGTCCAGCACAACTAGATGGTGCCCGACTAGCACCACCGACTGCTCTGACAGGGATCACAATTGATGGTCCCAGACAGAGCTGGAAAAAAATGTAGAACGAAATTCTAACTCACACACACAAAAAAAAAGACCAGACTTACTAGCCTGACAGAGACTGGAGAAACTGAGAGAGTATGGCCCCCAGACACCCTTTTAGCTCAGTAATGAAGTCACTCCTGAGGTTCCCCCTTCAGCCAAAGATTAGACAGGCCCATAAAACAAAATGAGACTAAATAGGCACACTAGCCCGGGGGCAAGGATGAGACGGCAGGAGGGGACAGGAAAGCTGCTAATAGGGAACCCAAGGTCAAGAGGGGGAGAGTGTTGACATGTCATGGGGTTGTCAATCAATGTCACAAAACAATATATGTACTAATTATTTAATGAGAAGCTAGTTTGTTCTGTAAACCTTCATCTAAAGTAGAATAAATTTAAAAAAAAAAAAGAATTTTAGATTTTCAGAGCTTTTGGATTTCAGAATCACAGAAAAGGGATTGTGGCCAAGTACTATGCCTTAATAGATATTTCAGCATTTGTAACTTTTCTGAGTTAGTTCCTCTTTGTCTTGCTTTAGCCTTGCACTTAGTAAGAGCTCATTAAATTTTGCAGTGAGCTGTTAAATAACACAAAAAACTGTT